AGAAAGATAAACGCATATCATTACACATGTGTGTAAAAAAATATATACAGGGTGATTCTGAACAACCCCGCGTCTTTGTAAAGACGTATTCGTGAATTAATTCTGAGACGATTTTTCCTCTACGAAAATTTTGTCCGAAGCTTACTTTTTGAATTATTGCAGAAAATATTTAGCCAATAACGGGGCGCGTACAGATGGTAGGCAGGGGCGGCGCAACTCACTGTCCGACGCGGGCGTTAAGTAGGGCGCTCGCTGCGATCATCAGCTACACGCGCTGATCAAGAGACACGGCAGTGTCTCGCGCCAAGTATAAGCGCATCGCGAGACTGCCATGTATCTTTACGTAAGAATACGACTTGCGAGTGCCTGAGCTTATGGAATCTCAATAATTGCTTATGCACATACACGGTCCCTCTCTTTCTCTCACTCACTCACTCACTCACTCACTCACTTACCTTGTAGAGATTCGATGTCTTCATACTGCTGTAGCTTGACGGATGAATAATTTCATCGTGGATCGCACCTCACGTTCTCATGTAACAAATCCACACCGAATAATAAGCCAGAGTTTTTTGTGAGTGAGTGAGTGAAAGAGAGGGACCGTGTATGTGCATAAGCAATTATTGAGATATTCTATAAGCTCAGGCACTCGCAAGTCGTATTCTTGCGTAAAGATACATGGCAGTCTCGCGATGCGCTTATACTTGGCGCGAGACACTGCCGTGTTTCTTGATCAGCGCGTGTAGCTGATCGCAGTGAGCGCCCTACTTAACGTCCGCGTCGGACGGTGAGTTGCGCCGCCCCTGCCTACCATCTGTAAGCGCCCCGTTATTGGCTAAATATTTTCTGCAATAATTCAAACAGTAAGCTTCGGACAAAATTTTCGTAGAGGAAAAATTGTCTCAGAATTAATTTAAGAATACGTCTTTACAAGGACGCGGGGTTGTTCAGAATCACCCTGTATATACCTTAGAAAGATAAACTCATCTTATTATATATATCACATTTATGTGTGGAAAAAGTATATATATACCTTAGAAAAATAAACGCATATTAATATATATTATATCACATGTGTAAAAAAAAAATATATGTATATATATATATATATATATATATATATATA